TATATGTTAAATCTGTTCTGCAGGAACAAAATCTGGAAGTTCTTTGGTACCTAATCAGCAAATTTTGATTTTGGATTCATGGATTGAGTATTTTAATTGATATAAAACTGTTTTAATTGATTAATTTCACTTACAGAGAATACCAGAAAAGTTGTCCGTACAGTTTTAATCGATTAAAGTACGAATTAATCGATTAAAATGTTTAGTATAGTTTTGTTCTCTCTGTTTTAATCGATTAAAAAGGATTTACATAAGTTAAAACCATTAAATGCCAAATTTAATCGATTCTTATTCGTTTTAATCGATTAAAATTCGGCTGTCATTTCATTAAATCTTTCAGTACAAAAATAATCGATTATTTTATGTTTTTAATCGATTATTTCATTGTTGCTTTTTCAAACCTAATATTCAAGATCAAATTAATTGGTTAATTTATTGATTAATTGATTAATTCGTTCCTGGAAATCATTTTAATTACAGTCAATTGAAAAATGCTCAGCTAATCAAGGACAATTTTCCAAATTTTAGTGCTTATCAAAATATGCAAAGTGCATTTACTGTATCATTTTGACCAAGTCAACACTTATCCAAGAACACTTTAGCTGATGTACCCACTGTCCAGAAACTTGCGCCTCTACCTTTAGTCAAGGGGACATGTGCAATTAAAGCTGTAACTTTGTAGGTTCTGTCAAAATTGGATTTCAATTTACAAATTTGGAATCTGAACCTCTATTCATCAAAGAAAAACCAGGCTCTGCATTTTCATGTTCTCCTCTTTCTTTCTTCTCTCTTCGCTCGCGCTCACTTTACCTATCAAATTTCTTCTCAAATCTGTGCTACAAGATGCTTAAGAGATCAAAATCAAGAAAGAAACATAAGGGAGAATCCTCCTCTGCTGCTGGCCAAGCTGGAGGACATATTGAAGCATGGTTTAATACAGTCATTGACAAAATGAACAACTTCATTTCCAACTTCAACCAAAAGCAACTGGTAATTCCTAAGTATATTAAGTTTGCTTGGTTGGATGAAGAAGGCTTTATCTCTTTGAGAAGAAAATTAAAAAGACAAAAGTTAAGGACTTTTCTGGAGCACACTAGCAATATTCAACCTGATCTAGTAAGGGTGTTTTATGCCAACCTTACTGTCAACGAATCTACTCTTAGGTCTCAGGTCAAAGGTATTAATTTGGTGATCACTCCTGAGGTATGGGAAGAAGTGGTTGGTCTTCATGATGTTGGTGTAAAGGTATCTAGAGGTAACATTGCAAAGTTACCTGATTTTAATAAAATTCAGTTTTTCCGCAGCTATCTCAAAAATCAAAATGATTCTGTAAGAACTCTTAACGCTGGGAAAATGGAGCTTGAACCAAGGATTCTTGGTTTTATCATTGCATGGATGCTTACTCCAAGAGGGAATAATCATGCATTACTAAATGAGGGTGATTTGGCTCTTATGTATTGCATTGAAAATAATATCCGTGTAAATTGGATTTTTGTTATCAAGGATCATATGATAAAAGCAAAAAGATTGGCTTATTATAAATTGCCATATGCTATGCTAATCAATCAATTTTTTAGATACTTTGAAGTAGATCTTGCAGGGGAATATGTGGAAACTCCAAAGGCCTCCAATAATATTGATGATTCCACTTTGCGGAAGATGGGATTTATCAAAATTGATGGAGAGTGGATCTCTAAGATTGATGTTGGGATGTCTGAAGATGAGGAAGAAGATGAAGAAGAAGATGATCAAGGTCAAATTCCTTCTTCTGTAGCTGCTGCAGAGGTTCCTGAATCCACTGGTGGTCAAGCTTCCTATGAGAACATGGAGATCATACCATATATGGAGCAACCTGACTGTGGATCTCCTCTCTCCCAGTTTGAAAGAACCATGCTTTCTCAAATGGCCACAATGCAAGAAAATCAAAGGAAGCATATGCAAATGACCTATCATCACTTCCAACAGACCAACACACAATTCACCAACCTGGGAAATCAAATTGCTGATATTTACACCAAACTGGAGGATATGCAGTTGAACTAGGGAAATTGGGATGATTAAGTATCTTCAAAAAGGGTCCTTTCTATTTTTTTTCATGGTTCTCTTATTTTTAGTTACTTTTATTCTACATTATGGTCTGTAATATTGACTGAACTTTGATCAACTATCTTTATATGATATTAGCTATTTTAGTTTTTAATTAGAAACCCCAGATTGAAACAAATAGCATAAAACTGATAGTTTTAACTGCTACAAAAACAGTTTAATCGATTAAATTCATTTAAAGAAACATTTATATAGAAAGGTTGTATTGTTTTAATCGATTAATTCACGAATTAATCGATTAAAAATCATAAATCATGAATCTGTATCAACTAAAATTGATTTACATCAATTAAAATCACTTGATAAGATGCCTTACTCTAATTTTACTCTATTTTTTTGGTTAAAACTTAATCAAATTTGTTGACTTTGTTACTAAACATCTTATAATAACTATTTTTATTAAAATTCAAAATGCATTAGGCAGTTTAGATACATCAAACATCACTTAGTTTCTAAATCTGGTTGTTTTAATTGATATAAACAAGCTTTAATCGATTAAATGAACTTTACAAAACTTTTTCATATAATTTTAATCGATTAAATGTTGATTTAATCGATTAAATGAACTTAAGTTTTTAGATTTCAATTTTCATTATTGTATTAATCGATTAAAACATTATTTGTATCGATTAAAATCAGTAACAAGAACAATTTTATCGATTATGCCTTGTTTTTAATCGATTATTACTCTGGAAAGAAAATTAAAGGCTTTAGTTAATGGTTGTTCTTGTAACATGCTACTAAAGCATTGTTCCCTTATCTTTACACGTGTCTATTGTATTCATTACAAACGTGTTAATGAAGATAAGTTTGAATCAACTTTAATTGGTCTTTAAACGAGTAATACATCTAGATGGTATCATGATTTCTTATAATTTCAAAATAAATTTTGTTACATACCATGCATAGTGTTTGTTTTGAAAGTGATGAAGATCTTATTGAATTACTTAAGCAAAGATCTTGTTGATTTGATGAAGACAAAATGTAGTCAAAGGCTAAAGGCTACTTTGTTGCAGTCAAAGGTCACTTAGATAAAAGGGTAGAGTGATTTGTGAGTCTGCATCTTTACTTAGGTATAATCATTTTTATCTCTCTGCTGCATGAGGTTTCTTCATTTAAAAGATTTTGCAAATGCCTCTAAAAAGTGTTTAAACTGTTAAAAACAAAGTATTTTGTTAAACGGTTTTTGAAGTAACTATTTTAACTAATAGTATATGAGCTTTATCAACTAAAATGTTCTTAACACTTTTGTAACAGGTTTTTAACTGATAAGATTTTGAAATAATCGATTGTTTTCATTAGAAGAAATTTTGAAAACCTTTTGTCAGTATTTTAACTAATATAGAACTGATACAATCGATTAAAATGACTTAGTATATTTTGAAAAGTGTTCTGGCAGAATTTTAGTCGATACAAACTCCAAATAATCGATTAAAATAACTTGAAATGTTTTGAAAGTTGTTTTGTCAGTATTTTAATCGATACAAATGTGAAATAATCGATTAAAACAACTAAGAGGTTTTTCCAAAATGTTTTAATCGATTAAAACAAGCATGCTATCAGTTAAAATAACTTAGAAAGTTTTATGAAATCTTTTGGCAGAATTATAATCGATTAAAATGCATTTCAACTAATTAAAATAACTAAGTGAACTTTTTCCAAAGTGTTTTAATCGATTAAAATAGATTGTTATCAGTTAAAATCAATTAGAAAATCTTATGAGAATTTTTAGCAGTATTTTAATCGATTGAAAGATGAAACAATCGATGAAAACAATTTGAAAGATTTTTTACAAAGAGTTTTAATTGATATAAACGTTGTCGTATCAGTTAAAATAAATATGGAAAATAATCAAGAACATTTTAACATATTAAAACAAGACTTTTAACAGATTAAAAGATTATTTTAACAGATTAAATAAACCAACAGTTTGGAAAATCTTCTATATAAACAGAATTGCTTGAACCTTTTAAAAAAACATCTTTTGGCAATCAATCAAGCAATCATAAGTGCTACTTTCAAGAGAGAATCGCGCTAGTTTTGTGAAGTTGTTAGAAGTTCTTTCTTGAGGCAATATTTGCATTCTTTTGGAGAAGAAACTCATTCTGCATAGCTGCATAAACCTGGTTTGGGTGTTCTAGTTTCTTCTCTTTGTTTCTTTACTTTTCTTTTCTGTATTGTAAGTGCTTGGAAGTGTGGGCACTGGTTTTTGTGGCTGGAATTTGGCTGCAGGGTTGTTCAAGAACTGGAAATTGGTTCTTGGTGAAGGTTTAGGTGCAAGGACTAGAATTTTGGTTCTTGTGATAGATTGAGTGTGAGATTGAAGTTGTAATCTGTAAAACGTTCAATCTAGTAGAACCCAGCTGGAATTTGGCTGGAAACTGGACGTAGCCCTGGGATTGGGTGAACCAGTATAAATCTTGGTTGTGTCTTTCTAAACCTTTCTCTCTTTAATTCTGTCACTGCCTTTACTTTGATTGTTTGCTGTATTTGATTCAAGATTTGGTCAGACCTCTTAATCTTTGAAATAGATAATCTGCAAATTGCGAAAAACTTTCAAAGATCAATTCACCCCCCCTCTTGATCTCAGCCTACATTTCTAATATGTTTTACTTCTCTATTCCCTGTTTTTTATGAAGTCAAAGGGGGAGAAATGATTGATTGTTTTTGATAATGATTTTTTTATACTCACTATTTGAGGGGGAGTAGTAACCTAGGGGAAGAAGTGATTAATTTTTTAATACTCACTAATCTGTATATTCAAGTGACTTCTTCTACAGAGATATTATTCAAAGAGATGTTTGTCTTCATCAAATAGGGGGAGACTGAAAGTGATGAAGATCTTATTGAATCATTTGATTAAACAAAGATCTTGTTGATTTCATTAAGTCAAAATGAAGTCAAAGGCTATTCTGGTGAAGTCAAAGGTTACTTGGATAAAAGGGTAGAGTGATTAGTGAGTCTGCATCTATAGTTAGGTATAATCATTCATATCTCTTTGCTGCATGAGGTTTCATCATTTACAAGATTTTGCAAAATGTCTCTAAACACGTTTAATTTGTTAAAAACCAAAGTAAACGGTTAAATGGTTTTTAAGTAATTGTTTTAACTAATACTATATGAGCTTTATCAGTTAAAATGTTCTTAACACTTACTTAACAGGTTTTTAACTGATAGGTTTTCAAAATAATCGATTAAAACCTTTTAAAACATACACTGAAACTATTTTAATTGATATATCTTCGAATTAATCGATCGTTTTCATTAAAAGAGTTTTGAAAACCTTCTGCCAGTATTTTAACTGATGTAGAATCAAAATAATCGATTAAAATGACTTAAGATGTTTTGAAAAGTGTTCTGGCAGAATTTTAATCGATACAAACTCGAAATAATCGATTAAAATAACTTGAAGTATTTTGAAAGATGTTCTATCAGTATTTTAATCGATGCAAATGCGAATTAATCGATTAAAACAACTAAGAGATTTTTTTTCAAAGTGTTTTAATCGATTAAAACAAGTCTGTTATCAGTTAAAATGACTTATAAAGTTTTATGAAACTTTTTGGCAGAATTCTAATCGATTAAAATGCAAAATAATCGATTAAAACAACTAAGAGATTTTTTCCAAAGTGTTTTAATCGATTAAAATAGATTGTTATCAGTTAAAATCACTTAGAAAGTTTTATGAAAACATTTTGCAGTATTTTAATCGATTTAAAGGCGAAATAATCGATTAAAACAACTTAAGGGATTTTTTACAAAGTGTTTTAATTGATATAAACGTTGTTGTATCAGTTAAAAGAAATCTGAAAAATGATCAAGAACATTTTAAAAAATTAAAAGAAGTTTTAGCAGATTAATTCAAGACTTTTAATAGATTAAAAGATTATTTTAACAGATTAATTAAACCAGCAATTTGAAGAATCTTCTATATAAACAAGATTGGTTGAGTCTTTTAAAATATACCTTTGAGTAATCAATCAAGCAATCATAAGAGCTACTTTCAAGAAAGAATCACGCAAGTTTTGTGAAGTTTTTCGTAGTTCTTTCTTGGGCAAATTTTGCATTCTTTTAGTTAAGAAACTCATTCTGCAGAACTGCATAAACCGGGTTTGAGTGTTCTAGTTTCTTCTCTTTGTTTCTTTACTTTTCTTTACTGTATTGTGGGTGTCTGGAAGTGTGGGCACTGGTTTCTGTGGCTGGAATTTGGCTGCAGGGTTGTTCAAGAACTAGAAGTTGGTTCTTGGTGAAGGTTTATGTGCAAGGATTGGAATTTTGGTTCTTGTGGTAGATTGGGTGTGTGATTAGAATTGTAATCTATAAAACATTCAATCTAGTGGAACTCAGCTGGAATTTGGTTGGGAACTGGACGTTTCCCTGGGATTGGGTGAACCAATATAAATCTTGGTTGTATCTTTCTAAACCTTTCTCTCTTTAATTCTGTTGCTGCCTTTATTTTGATTGATTGTTTTGTTTGATTCAAGAATTGGTCAGAACTCTTAATCTTTGGAATAGATAATCTGTAATTTGCGAAAATCTTTCAAAGATAAATTCACTCCCTCTCTTGATCTTAGCCTACTTTTCTAACAGAACTTTCTTCCCTCCATGCGGCGGAGGTTGCCACGAAGTTGGCAAATGAGAAGGAGCTGGTCGGGATAAGGGTTGCAATAAGGTTATCTGCTCGATGCACCACATTGTTTAAAGTGGTGTATCTTTAAACCAAGCAAAGTTTGACGTTGAGTATGACACCGATAATAGTTCCCTTATCCACATTGATGATCTTCTGAAGGATGCCTAGTGGGTATTGTTTTGCTTATTTTGCTTTGACCAAATTGTTTTCAGGTTTTTGTGGTGGCTTATAATGTCGAGTTTGCTTGTTGACCTTTTGTATAACCTTTGAAAGTGTCGTTTAGTAATGAAAGTTATCGACTTTGAACCTATTGCCTACACGCTTCTTTTTAGAGTTATGTTTTGCTTATTATTATTGACTGTTGGCCGAACTTGTTAAGTAGTGTTTTTTATTTTTTGGTAGGGATTGTTCTTTGGGAGAACAAAGCTTCCTTGAATGTGTTGTGCTCGGGAGGGTTCACTCGAGTGTGAATCATCCTCGACCGAGATATGCTAGTATATAATGAAATGGTTATATCTTTGTTTGGATTACCATGCCTTATTAAAACCTCCCTAACCAAAATCCTCTTTTGGAAAAATGTTGATGGTAGGAAAGAGTACATGTCGGTACAAAATATGCAATCTTAACTAAAATAAAATTTAAGTAGGGAAGTGTGTCATGTATGCGGTATTGGCTTGCCGATTAATTCATCCAGGTAGTATGCGTCGTTTCCCAATGATTTTGTCACTTGGTAAGGTTCTTCCCAATTGGATGAGAACTTCCCTCTATTGGATTCCTCCTTGCAACACTTCTCAAACAAAGGACCAAATTGCCTGGTCGAAAACTCCTCGATTGCACTTTAGAATTATACTTCCACATCATCCACTATTTAAATGCGGCTTCTCGAATTGTCGCTTGGTTTCTCCCTTCTTTGATAAGGTCTAATTCTACCCTCATGCTTTGCTCGTTTTCCTTTTGGTTGAATAGTTCTCTGCGTAAAGATCTTTCCCCAACCTCTACAAGGATAATGGAGTTTGTTCCATATGTGAGGTTGTACGAGGTCTCTCTTGTTGTAAATTGAGGGGTGCAATGATACGCCCATAGTATCTCTAGGAGCTCATCGTCCCACACTCCTTTTGCTACCCCGAGCCTCTTTCTTAATTTGTGTAAGACTATTTTATTAGCTGCTTCCGCAGACCGTTGATTTGGGGATGTTCGACAGAACTAACTCTGTGAGTAATGTGCAATCCCACATAGAACTTGGCCAACCCCTTTTCTATAAACTGTTTGTCGTTATCCGTGATGATGGAATTTAGTATCCCAAATATGCATATTATGTTTTTCCATACAAAAATGTTGTACCTGTTGGGCGATAATTTTTGCAAGGGGTTCAACCTCAATCTACTTAGTGAAATAATCAATGGCTACTAGTAGGAACATGCACTGCCCTCGTACTATGGGGAAGGGGTTGATTATGTCCATTCCCTATATTGCGAATGGCTAGGTGGTCGTGATATACTGTAGTTGTTCAAGATGTGAATGTATGACTGGTCCATGAGTTTGGCATTAGTGACATCGTTGGACATATTTTTGGCAGTCGGTCTGAAGTGTCAACCAGTAATCGCCGGCTCTTAGGACCTTGGCCCCCATTGTTCGCCTGCCTGAGTGTAAGCCACAAATTCCCCTATGTAGTTCTTCCATGATATATTCGACTTGTGAGATTGGGATACATTTGAGTAGTGGTGTTGAAAGTCCTCTTCTGAATATCTCACCCCTTATTAAGGTAAACTTCGTTGCTCTCATCTGGAAGGTCCTAGCTTCGTATGGATCAGTCGACTTTGTGCCATTAACGAGGTATTCCGTGAAGGGTGTTGCCAACATGGGCTTTCATTAACCTCATGACATTATGATTCATTGATTGACTACTTGACTAGCATTTGTTGAATGATTGTCTTGAGGTGGTCGTTGGGCTTGTAGTTGGCATACTTGGATAATCGATCGACCTTCACGTTAGCCTCTTGGAAGATATGTTCAATCTTTACCTTTTCAAATGCATCTAGTAGCCCTGTTACCAAATGATGGCATTTCAATAGTTGTAGGTTTTTTACTTGGTACGTTCCGGGCACTTGCTCGACCGTTAACTTCGAGTCACTTATGAACTTGACCCTCTCGACCCCCATTTCTTTTTCCAATTGAAAAAAAACTCAGTTTCTTTTGCCAATTGAAAAAAACTCAGTTATGAGTGCTTCGTACTCTTCTTGGCTATTGGTGGTTTTGAAGCTGAACAAAAAAGATTGTTTGATAATAAGATTCTCTGGTCCTTTGATGACAATCCCGACCCCGCCACCTTTATCTTTTAGTGAGTTGTTTACATACAAAATCCACCATGCACTTTCCGTTACCTCTGCTGGGGCCATCTCATTTACAAAATCTGCCAAAATTGTGCCTTGATGGATCCCCTTGGTTAATAGCAAATGTTTTGGTTAGACAGTTCGACCATCCATGCTATCATTCATTCGGTTAGTTCTGGTTTCACTAGTACCTTGACAATAGGGTAATCACTTCTGACTATTGGATGACTTTGAAAGTATGGCCTTAAACATCTGGCAATAGTTACCAAGGTTAATGCTACTTTCTTGATTTGTTGATATTGCGTTTCTGCATCTTGAAGTACCATACTAACATAGTAGATGAGGTTTTTCTCTTTTTCATGCTAGCCTGACCATGATATTGCTCTTATAGCTTCTTCAAACACGACTAAATATAACAACAATGGTATCCCTGACCACGACCTCTGTAGAATTGGAGGCGATGCGAGGTATTCTTTTAGATTTTTTGATGGAAATAATCTCTTCCTTCTACCAATGAGACGCCCAAGTCCACACCTCAAGCTCTCAAATCACCCAAAATTGTTTCCCAAGCTCAAAAAAAGACTTGGCACTAGCTCCTCCAAGGAAGGATCCTTGTTTAGGAGAGAAGGAGAAGAAAATCTCCAAAGGACACTTGAAGACTAGCCAAAAATGGGGTACAAGCAAAATTGCAAGTTCCATACACTAAGCTTGGTTTTCATTCAAATGTGCCAAAGGAGCTACACAAAGGGTTATATTTATAGTATTTCCCCTCTCATCCACTTCAAGTATTTAGAGATGTGGGACTTTTCCTACTCTTACACTTAGGCGCCGAGAATGGCTAAATGTAGTCCCACATTCCTCCTTTCTATGTTTTCCTAAGAGTATATATTACAATGTTTTTCAATGGTTGGCAAACACCATCTTAGGTGCGGTCTTGAGATGATCGCAAGGCTGGTGTGTGGTGCTTGATCATGGCTTGTGGTGTAGAGCCATGAGTGAGGCTTGTGACCGTGAGCTCTAGATAATGGGTGTAGACCCCAAATCTTGCCCGACCTCAAAATATAGAGTAGAAGACCTCCAATTCGAAGATGGACAAGGCCTAAAAGGTCCCTAGGATAGACTAATAGGCCCCATATTAGAGTAGGAAGGTTTTTTGTACAGAAAAAAATAAGGAATTCCACCTGGAAGGTCGAGACCGTCGTCTCGCCATCGGCAAAGGGAGAGACCGCCGTCTCGTTTGGCGAGACGACCGTCTCCCCACTTGCCAATGGCAAGACTGCCGTCTTGTTTGGCGAGATGGCCTTCTCGCCACTTGCCAAGGCGAGACCACCGTCTTGTTTGGTGAGACGACCGTCCCACTTAGCGAGACGGCCGTCTCGACCTTGCCAGGTGAGACAGTCGTCTCGACCTGACAAGCGTGAATCCCTATAAAAGGAGGGCGCGCTCCCCTCCTTTTCACACATTCTTCAACTTTCCCTTCTATATTTTCTTCTAATTCTTCTCCTAGGATCCCTCCGAAGCATTTCCGGAGTTTCTTAGCATTCTTAGAGGGTATTCTGTAGCGTTGCGAGGAAGAGCGACCAACATTGTAGAGTGAAGGATTGCCAAAAAGCATCCTACTTCAAGAAATTTTAATTACGAAAGTGTGCTTCGAAGGTTTCCACACTTTCTCCCTCTCTTTTACCGCTGTTTATTTACATTTATCCGTGCATTAGTTGTTAGGGCCATGTAGTCGATACCTTAAATTCCGCAAATAAATAAAGGGTAGAAGCGTCATTATAAAAGTTCATTTATGAAATAAACGACCCATCATAGGGAACCCAAAAGGGGCGTCGTAGGGAAGCTAATACCTTCGGTACACGTAACTAACTCCCTTACCCAACTCTGGTTATAATGGCCAAAGTTGGTTTTTCAAAACCAACACCTTCTTTTTTCTCCTTTTCCATTTTCGAAAACCTCGCCTTTAGGTCCAGCCCGGTTATCGGACAACCTAAAGGCATTGTACCACACTTTTAAAACACGAGCGGGAGTCGGAAACCATCGCGTCGCTCTGACCGCCTCTTTTGACGGAGACGACAGATGGCGACTCCTTTGGGGAAGCCTAGAGAGTTGATCCCATTTAGTGATGGGCCAGTTTAATAAATAAACTTAAAAATTTCACTTTTACCCTACTTTGTTTTATAACATGTTTTATTTGCTTGACTTTAATAATTGTTGTTTGTTTATTTTATGCAATTGTTTGAAATACAAACTGTACACAAACCTTTGCACACAAAAATTCCCTCTATACCCAGGGGAAAGTGAGAGATCCATAGGGAGTGGGTGGCAGGTATGGTTTGCCATAGTGAGGGCCATGAGCCCACCGATATGATCGGAAACTTGTTAGAATCGCGTAGCGGAATGATCACGTGGTCGGACAAAAACCAAGAGGGGGGTGAATTGGTTTCTTAATAAAAATTAGGTTTTGAAAATTTTCCCCAAATTTTACCGATTAAAAACTGTGTAAATGTAACTAGAGAAGGGATAGAAATCTTACACAGGAGATTTATACTGGTTCGGATCAAAAGACCCTACGTCCAGTTGCTAATCACTCAACAGAGGATTAACGCTGTCACTATAAACAAGTTGTTACAAACAGATTACAATTGAAAAGATAAAGATACGAAAACACCTCTCTTGAAATCCACAAGAGATGATGAACAACTTTCCCTAGAGACGGCACAACACACAATCCACTAAGAACTCCACTTAGTGATTCTTATCGCTTCTAGCCCACACCAGGTTCCAAAAGCCCCCTTTCCTTGCAACAAACAGTTCTCTGGCACTCACAGCACTTAA